CTCTAGTCCTCTGTGGCTATGTCACTGACTCTGGGCCCAAGAGTCCCCAGGTCTTGCCACACTGCTGGCCAACCAGTTCTTCACCCGGGTTCACAGAAGTCTATTGAACGTTGTAGGGCTTAGCTTACCGCTTCATTGCTGTTTTTCCCTCACCTCCCCTTATCGGTGTCGAGCGTGGTCACAAGGCTATAATCTTTACAGGAGTAGAAAGCCTCATCTTTCTCCCGTAAAGTGACTGGTAGATTCGAACTACTAATTTTGTGGTTAACAGCCAGCTCGTGATCCACAATGTTACCAGGGCTCCTTAGAGTATAGGAGTGACTTGTTTTTTTTTAATTTCCTGTTTTCTTGTTACTGTTGTTATTCATTTTACTCTTGATAAAAGCTGAGGTTTAAGATATAAATTCAAATCAAACCTGTTACAGAGCTGAATCAAGGTGGCTGAACTTGAATAATGGTAAAGATAAAGCCATGATAAACAAATGAAGTCTAAATTATGAATCTGAAGACTGTAGAATCTAAGAAAGGTTCTGATTGCTAGACACAGATCTTGAAGTGTTCTTTTTGATGAAGAATGTAACATCATTCCTCTTCAATTTGTCACCCTGGCAGAGTCAACCCTGTGATTGTCAGATTCTAGACTGTAGGTTGAATGGATTTACTTCTGGATCTCAGTTCTGTTCCTTTGAAGTATGTGTCTTCCATTGTACCAGTACCAGGCTATTTTGATTACTGTGGCTGTGTTTTGAGATCTGAAAATGAGAGGCCTCCTACTTTGTTAGTCTTTTAAATGATGCTTTTCTTATTCGGGGTCTCTTTCCTTTCCATGTATAAATTAGTGATTACTTTTTCCATCTCTTTAAAGAATAGTGTTGAAATCTGGGTTGGGATAGCATTATGTCTGTAGATCTCTTTGGTTTTTCACAATATTAAGCGTTCCTATCCATGAGCAGGGTACATTCCTCCATTTTTGTGGGGTTTTTTGTTGTTTTTGTTTTTTCTAGTAGTGTTTTGACTTTTCTTTGTATATAAGTCTTTTGTTTCTCTGGTTAGATTTATTCCCAAACTTTTCAGCACAGGAGTGGTGAGAAAGGGAGTCCTTGTCCGATTCCTTTTTTACAAGAGGAATGGCTTCAGTTTCTCACTGTTGAGAATGATGTTGTTGTTGTTAAGTACTGTCAAATTGGTACCAACTTGTTGTTTGTTGTTAAATGCCATTGAGTCAGTATCGGCTCATAGCAACCCTGTATAGGGTTTCCGAGGAGCAGATGGTGCGCTTGAACTTTGTGGTTCAAAGAGAGTTTGCATTCCAGCACATTAACCCACAGTGTTACACTAGGAATGATACTGGCTGTTTATTTTGTAGTTGTTGTTGTTAAGTGCTGTCAAGTCAGTCCCGACTCATAGTGAGCCTGTATTGGGTTTCCAAGGAGCATCTGGTGGATTTGAACCAGCAACCTTGAGATTAGCACTCCATTGCTTATCCTACAGTTCCACATATAAATGCCCTCAGTTATGTTGAGCAATTTTCCTTCTAATTTCTGTTTTGCTGAGTTAGTACCTTGCGGTTCAAACCGACCTTGTGGTCCAGTGCTTTATCCTACGGTGCCACACCAGGACTCCATGTATGCAAGTTAGATTTTGTAAAATGCTTTTTTCTGCATCAATAATATATGATCATGTGATTTTGTTCCTTTGTATTTATTTATGTGGTAGATTATGTTGATTGCTTTTATAATATTGTACCATCACATACCTAGTATGAATCCCCCTCGGTCATGATTTTTTTTTTTAATGTCTGCTAGGATTTTGTTGAGAATTTTTTGCCTCTGTGTTCATGAGGGAGTCCTGGTGTGGCATTGTACGATAGGCATTTGACCACAAGGTCCATTTGAACCACGAGTTGGCGGTGCCAATTCACCAGCCACTCCTTGGAAACCCTATACAGGATCGCTATGAGTCAATAGCATGTAACAACACCAGTAATAACAATGTTCATGAGGTATATCAGTCTTTATTTCTTATTACTGTCTTTCTCTGGTTTTAGTATCAGACTTATGCTTGCTTAATAAAATGAATTTGGGCGTTTTCCATCCTGTTTTATATTCTGGAATAGTTTGAATAGAATTGTTGTCAGCTGTTTTCTGAATATTTGGTAGAATTCACCAGTAAAGCCATCTCGGCCTGGACTTAGTTGAACTTATTTTTTGTGGGAAGTTTTTAAAAGTAACGTGAACTATTTCTTCTCTTGTAGTCATGTTTAAGTTTTCTACTTTAGCCTGTGTTGGTTTAGGTGGGACATGTGTTTCTAGAAATTTCTGTTTACCTGGAGATGCCCTAATTTCACCGTCATATTTGAGAGTTGCCTTTGCTATGTATATGATTCTTGGTTGACAGTTTTCTTCTTTCAGAATTTATCAATTCATCCCATGGCCTTTTCGCTTGCATGGTTTCTGTGAGAATCAGAGCTTAGTCTGATTGGTTCTCCTTTTTAGGTAACTTTTTGTTTTTCTCAAGCTGCTGTCAGGATTTTTTCCTGGTCTTTGGTTTTAGAACGTTTAGTTATGTTATGTCTTGGTGATTTTCTTTTGGGATGTATCCTGTTTGGGGTCCATTCAGTTTCTTGTGTGCTTATCTTATCATCTTTTCATGATGTTAGGGAAGTTTCTTCCAGTAGTTCTTTGACTGTATTCTCTGTGCTTTTTATTGTCTCTTTCTGTTACGGAATAATTCCAATCAATGGTAAGTTATTCCTCTTCAGGGTGTCCCACATAACTATTAGACTTTCTTTGGAGTTTTTCATTCTTTTTGTCTGATTGCTCTTTTAACATATTTGTAGAATTGATGCTTTTGAATTATGGTGTTGGAGAAGAATATTGAAAGTGCCAAAAGAACCAATAGATCCATTTTGGAAGAAGTGCAGCCAGAGTGCTCCTTGGAGGCCAAGATGGTAGTGAAATGATATACGATAGGATGAATGCAAAGCTAATGTTCTCCCATGTAAACTATCACATAATTCACAATAAAACATTAAAAACAACAAAAACAGTAGGGTCCAGAAAAAAATTAATAATAACAACTAAAAAGAGAAAAGAGGGATAGGAGAATGGAACTATAGAAGAGAAAATAAAAGGAAGAAAAACAATTAAATTAACCCTTAGAAAGCCAGGGAGAGTGAAGATGCAAAGCAAAGAGAGTAGAGAGTAGTAATGAAATATTACAAAGGGGGAAGAAATAGAAGAGAGGGGAAATGAGAGACAGAAGAAAAAAGAAAAACAAAAGTGGAGAAATGATACAATTCAAGGGAATGGAAGAGAGGAGGAAGAATAAACAAAAAAAATTGAAACAACAAAAGGAAAAAACCAACCCCCCCCCTCCCCCCAAATAAAACAAACCACAGTGCAGCTCTTTGGACTAGGTGAGGAAAAAACTCAGGGCGTGGAGGCTCTTGCAAACCAAGGAGCTCAGTTAGGTGGGTCTGGGATGAAAATGACAGCAGAGTTCCTGGCTCTTGATGGAATTCCTATGGGTCTTGATGTTATCTATATACAGGGTACTCAGTCTGGAGGAAGTAGCTCCTGGAAACCTCCTGGTGGAGCTGGTTTCAGTGTCTGTTAGGGCCACGGGGCAGTTGGGGGCTCGATAACTGGTTGAATGCTGGTCTGTTGGCTCTGCGGGTTCTGTAGGTCTGAAACAGAGCCCACCTGAATCCAGGCACCAAAATGGTACACCAAAGTGGCACAGCCTGTCCCCATCTCATACTGGCATGGCTCCCAACCACATTGCTCCAAATGCTTAAAGAATTGGAGCTATGCTGTGGTAAATATGGGTAGGAGCTGGCCATAGCTCTGGTCACTTTGTTATCAAAACTGCTCACAAAGGTTCAAGATGGTTGTGTCGTGTCTGTCTGGAGGTTCACCTGTTTGTCTCCCTCTCTTGCTCCCCCTGCTCAGCTTCTCCTCCCAGCAAGCACTCAGTCTACTTCTGTAACCTGGCCTCTGAAGTTCAGGATTCCAGGATTTTCTATTTGGTCTTTCGCATCTTTGTTGTTGTTGTTAAGTACCATCCAGTCATTTCTGATTCATATCTAGACCCTGTATAGGATTTACAAGGAGAGGCTGGTGAGTTTGACCTGCTGACCTTGTGGTTCAAACTGAACTTGCAGTGCAGGGCTTTCTCCCACCGAGCCACCCCAGGACTCCTGTGTGTTGTAGAGGGTCCGTTTAAGAGAAACTTGTAAAATCACATTCAATTGTGAGAAACAATACAGAGATGTCCCTTGTACATCACTGCAAGGATTTTAAAGTGTTATTGATGATGAAGGTAAGACAGTTGCTGATCAGGTATTATACCATAGGTAGAAAGTACTTTATGAATTTAAGAAAGGTGAGATTACGCTGCTTGCAGGTGCAGCCAGGAAAGAAGTTTTCATACAAGTTGTTGTTATGTACTGAGGAGTTGGTTCTGACCCATAGCGACCCTGTACAGGGTTTCCGAGGCTGTAAATCTTTACGGGAGCAAAAGCCTCATCTTTCTCCTGTGGAACAGCTGGTAGTTTCGAACTGCTGACCTTGCCATGCACAGCCCGATTTGTAACCACTACGCTACCAGAGTCAGTATTTAATCCAAACCTCAAAGGATGAGTAGAATTGTATCAGATTGAAAATGAGGTAAGCCAAGACTCAAGTAAAAGTGAGGACATGGATACCTCCACAGAATAATGGTAACCATCTGGACTGCCTATAAATAGGTTATTTTTTGGCTCAAGTTTTTAGAAATCAAGTAATAATGTCCTGTTTTTAATCCCAGGTCTAACTGTCACATTTCCTTGTTTAATACAGAATACCCTGATTCTTCTGAGAGTCTGACTTGTTAAAAAAAGTGTGTGTTTTTTTTTGTGTGTGTGGTTTTAGAATGACAGTAGAGATCGGCAGCGCCATGAACACAATGAGAGGCAGCGGCACGGCACCCCTGAGCCATTATCTAATGGACAACCCCAGGGTAACACACGGCAGGTGGTGGAGCAAGATGAAGAGGAAGACGAGGAGCTGACGTTGAAATATGGTGCCAAGCATGTCATCATGCTCTTTGTTCCAGTGACTCTCTGCATGGTGGTGGTAGTGGCTACCATCAAATCAGTCAGCTTTTACACGCGCAAGGATGGGCAGCTGTATGTATGAGCATTTTGTTATCTTATTCCCAAGACCAGTGTTATTTTCTTCATAGCATGTTGTCATCACCCTGAAGGCTTTTAAACTTAAGGGGCGTGAAAGGTCACGAGTCTGTCCTCTCTGATGGTCAGTAGTAGTTGGAAGAGTGAGGGGTTCTTACTTGGTGCTTTTGGGGTTAAAAATGAAGACCGAACAGGTGTTTATTCTATACAATATCACTGAATTTATTTGGCATTGAGCAGATACAGAATTGAATAGTGATCTTTCCTACCTCAGTACCATTTGGGCATACTGTTCTGCTTGAGCTGTCTTTTCTCTTGTAACTGTGCTGGATTTACTCCTAACACCCCCATTTTTGCTTAAATGTTAGGTCCTTCAAGACAACTTCTCTGATGCTCCTAACAGAATTAGGTATTTTTCTCATAGCAACTTACTCTTTTTCACATATCAAAGTTTGCAGGTACATATTTACTTGCATTATTTAATGCTTGCTTTCCTTCTATATTGTAAGCTCTATGAGGGTACTTTATCTCCTGGCACATCATAGAAATTGAGGAAAAGTTGCTAAATGGAAACAGTAGTTAAAGCTGGCTGGCACTCTCTGAGCCCTTAGTTGTGTTGATTTCCTGGTGCCACTGGTGTCAGCCCTTTGTCTATAAGATTCAGATGCCATCTGGTTCTGTTTCTAGAACTTTCATGGGCCTCAGAGAAGAATTTTAAGTGAGTTTTAGAATTTGACATTGGAAAGTGTCTAAAAAACTGTGTCATTCTGAAAGGCAAGCTTCTAACCTTTTAGAAGAAAGGCCCAGACAACAAGTGAAGAATAGGGTTGGAGATAATAACCAAAAGGAAATATTATCTAAGACATGGTTAGATTTACCTATATATTACAGACTAAGAATTGGCACGCTATAAATTGCACGCCAAATCTGGTCCATCGTCTGTTTTGGTAAATAAAGCTGTAGGGACACAGTTATGTCCATTCATTTATATATAACCTGTGATTTCTTTCACACTAGTTGAGTAGCTTACAAAGGAAATGATTTGGCTCACAAAGCTTTAAATGTTTACTCTCCAGTCTTTTACAAACAAATTCTGCTGACCCATTATAGACAATCAAAATAACTGGTGTACATTTTATCCATTTTGTATCTCTCCTACAGAGAAGTACAGAGGTAGGCAGTCCAGATTGGCACGGCACGGTGGCTTCCTAGTCATCAAAAACTCAGTTTCCTTCTTTCTTCTTTGATTTCTATCCTGTAGGTTATTTCAGGGTGAAGTATGGCTGCTGGAACCCAGACTTTATTCTAAATGTTGTTGTTGTTAAGTGCCATGGAGACGGTTCTGACTCATAGCGACCCTACACAGGGTTTCCGAGGCTGTAAATCTTTATGGGAGCAGACTGCCTCATCTTTCTCCCGTGGAACCGCTGGTAGTTTCGAACTGCTTACCTTGAGGCTCACAGCCCGATTTGTGACTACTACGCTACCAGAGCTCCTTTTATTCTAAATAGCAGGAATGAAAAAGATTTAGGCAGGGAAGGAAGTTTCTAGAAGTTCCTAAAACACATATCGTGTTCATTTAGTTTCTGGCCTCATATGACTGTATAAGGGAATCAGTCAGCAGTAAAGTCTTAGGCTTGGAACCATAGTCTTTGTGGGGCAGCTCAGTCAGTCAGTTGACGTAACATAGTTCATGTTAGTTTGGTGAGTAGCATCTTGAGTCTTACAACCTTACAAGCAGTCATCTAAGATACCATTATTGACCTCTTCTCATCCAGAGCAAAAGACAATGGAGGAAACTAAAGACTCAAAAATGAAATGTGGTTCACAAGACTAATAACCCTTATGAACCACAGCCTTTTCTGGCTTGGGACCAGAAGAACTAGATGGTGCCCTGCTACCACTAGTGACCATTTTGACCAAGGACACAGTAGAAGGAATATAATGGGAGAAATATATAGAACAAAATTCAAATTCCTAATAAAACCTTTACTTACTAAACTGCTGTAGACTAGGGGATGTTCTGAGACTAAGATACCCTGTTAACATACAACTGAAGTCACTCCAAGAGGTCACCTTTTAGCCAAATTTTGAATCAGCTTATCAGATAAACAATGCCAACTGTTTGGAATGTGCTCCCTTAAGCAATCAATTCTATAAGACCACATGGTAAGCATTTACCCAAAAGCAAAGATTGAAAAGGCAAAGAGGGGGAAGGAAGTTAGACCAATGGCAACAGAATAGAAATAAGACAGCATTTATAAGCCATACTGCCTTCCTCGGGATCTGGCTCTTTAACAAATCACTTACATAATCTGTGGAGAAAGAACATTTGATGAGGTTTAATTATTTCACTAAAGGAGCTCTGGTAGCGTAGTGGTTATGAATTGGGTACTGTTCCGTGGGAGAAAGATGACGTATTCTGCTTCTGTAAAGATTTACAGCCTCGGAAACCCTGTACAAGGTGGCTATGAGTCAGAACCGACTACACCGCACACCACCACCACCACCACCAATTATTTCAGTATAAACCATCCACTAGATGGAGCCATAGTCTGGTTTATATGCAAGTCCACTTCTCATTATTTTAGATAGTTCCTCGTATCTTGAAGCAATTCTTGTAGAGTATAGCTCTTTTCTTTGGTTAAAATTATTGACTAGAAAAAAGTGTTTCATAAGATACTAGTTGAATGAACAGAGATCAAAGCTCTGATGTTCAAAGTGGGTTTATGGTTTGGGATGTCCATTAATACTTACCAGAACTTTTGTGTTTTGTTTTATTCTAGCATCTATACACCATTCACAGAAGATACTGAGACTGTGGGCCAAAGAGCCCTGCATTCGATTCTGAACGCTGCCATCATGATCAGCGTCATTGTTGTCATGACTATCCTCTTGGTGGTTCTGTACAAATACAGGTGCTATAAGGTGAGCAGGAGACACCGAGTTTTCATTTTCACACAGTTTTATCAGTGACTTGCCCTGTCACAAATAACTTACTTGGTCTAGTAAAGAAAAAGGCCTTATGTTCTAGTTGTTATTGTTGTTAAGTGCCTTTGAGTCAGTTCTGACTCTTAGTGACTCTGTATAAGGTTTCCAAGAAGTGATTAGTGAGTTTGAACCATCAACCTTGCAGTTAGCAGTCTTGTGCTTACTCCAGTGCCACACCAGGACCCCTATATATTAGAGCTAAGTTCCTTTTTTTTCTCCGTATTATTGTGGAACATTCTGAAAATTCAAAAGGCATGAATTAAAAACAGCACATTTTGGCTTATATTCCAAAGAAGTATATCCTAATCCCCTCAAAGGCTATCGTTGTCCTTAGAAAATGTGGCTTAGCTGAAAACATTCCGATTTACATGTTTGAATACATAATAGTAAATCTACTTTCAGATGCTTGTGTTGAATCATTGGCGACTTGCCCTGTTCTCCTTTCTAAACTGCATTTCTCCTGCAGTAGCAGCAATCCTTTATTGGAAAATGGAGACAGAGCAAGGTCTCTAGGGGAAAACACAGACCCCCTCCCTCAACTCGCAGCTTCTTCTAGGTCATTCTCTAGGACTACCTTCTAAATTTCATCCATTAAGTTACCAGGCACATGTTTCAGGCATATGCTCCAGAAAAATTGTAAATAACTGTACATCGTAGGCCTTTAGTGTCACTCTCAAATAATAGAAATTCTGAATGTTAACTCTCCAAATACTAGGATCTACTCTATTTCCTTCTAGTATTTGTCTATTTTTAAAAATTGTTACATTAAAATTGGTGATCAGTATGTGTCGTTTCTTAACTTTTACTTTGGCATAAGCGTTTTCCATGTTATAAATTCTTAGAAAATATGTCTAGCAGCTATATAATTTTTGACTCAATGGTGTATTGTAATTTACTTTCCTAATGTTGGACATTTTAAGTTGCTTCCAGTTTTTCACTATTATGAAAAAACAATGAACGTCTTTATGTATTGAGCTTTTTTAATGTTTCAAGTTTATATCCTTAGGGCAAAATCCTAGATGTAGAATTTCTGGGGCAAATTATCAACATGTTTTTAAGTCTTGGTGTACAAAATTCCTTTTTCAAAAAGATTGTATCAGTTTATACTTTGTGCCAGTAGTGAATGAGAGACTCTGTCAAAAGATTGTATCAGTTTATACTTTGTGCCAGTAGTGAATGAGAGACTCTGTCATAACTCATCTTCACCAGCACTGATTGAAAAATTTTAAATCTGTGCTAATTTTTATAGCTACCACTTATATGTAAGTTTTGTCACACTGTGGTGACTTGGGTGTTGCTGTGATGCTGAAGCTATGCCACTGGTATTTGAAATACTCACAGGGTCATCTGTGCTGGACAATTTTCAATGGAGCTTCCGTACTAAGACAGACTACTTGAGAATGTTTAACCACTGAAAAACTTACAAATATAGCAGTGAAACATTATCAGATACTGTGCTGGAAGAGGGAAACTTTGTGACTACCAGAATATTGTCATGGTGCCAGAAAATGAGCCCCTTAAATTGGAAAGCACTCAAAATATGACTGGATAGAGCACAACTCAAAATGCAGAGAACTAACTCTAAACATCCATTAATAATTGGTGCATAGAACTTATGAAATACAAATCTTAGAAAATGATAAATTGTTGAAAATGAAATGGATTACATAAATACTGATGCTAGACATTATGAGTTGAAATGGACTGGTTCTGACCATTTTGAATCTGACAATCATATGCTTTAATGTGCTGGGAATGAAAAATTCAAGAAATAGCATTGCATTCTTCATCAGAAAGAACATTTCAAGATCTATCTTAAGTATAATTCTGTCGGTAATAGGATAGTATCAGTATACTTACAAGGAAGCCAGGTAATACAACTATTACTAAGATTTACACACCAGCTACAAAACCAGTGATGATGGAAGTTGAAGCGTTCTACCAACTTCGTCTCTCATACTGTGGACATGTTGTCAGGAGGGACCAGTCACTGGAGAAGGATATCATGTTGGTAAGGTGGAGGGTCAGAGAAAAAGAGGAAGACCCCCAATGAGATGGATTGGCCAAGTGGCAGCATCGATGGACTCAAGCGTGGCAACAGTAGTGAGGTTGGCCCAGCATCGGGCAGTGTTTCGTTCTGCTGTGCATAAGGTCGCTATGGGTCGGTACTGACTCGATGGTACCTAACAACAACAACCAACTTCTTCAGCATGAAATTGATCAAACATGTAACAGAAATGTATTGATAATTACTGGTGATTGGAATGAGAAGGTTGGGAACAAAGAGAAAGGATGAGTAGTTGGAAAATATGAGCCTGGTGACAGAAATGATGCTGGAGATAGATACCATGATAGAATTATATTCATTGCAAATACCTTTTTACAATAACATAAAAGGTGATTGTACACATGGTCCTCATCAGATGGAATACAAGGAATCAGATTGACATGGAAAGCTCATTATCATCAACCAAAGCAAGTCGAGTGGTAGACTGTGGAACTGACCGTCAATTGCTCCTATGCAGAAACATTCAGGCTGAAGCTAAACAAAATGAAAACAAGTCCATGCAAACCAAAATATGACCTTGAATATTTCCCACCTCAGTTTAGAAACGATCTTAAGAACAGACTTAATGCATTAGGCACTAATGACCGAGGGCTGGTAGAGTTGTGTGGGATGACATCCAAGAACATCATATAGGAAGAATGCAAAAGGCCATTAAACAGACAAAGAAGAAGGAAAGGCAAAAATGGTGTTACAAGAGATTCTGGAACTTGCTTTCTAGATACTAAAGCAAATCAAAGAAATGAAGAATCAAACAACTGAACAGAAAATTTCAAAGGGCAGCTTGAGAAGGCAAAGTTAAATATTATAAGGAAATGTGCAAAGACCTAGAATTAGAAAACCAAAAAGACAAGAAGAAGCTTAGCATTTCTCAGGATGAGGGAACTGATGAAAAATGTCAAGCCTCAACTTGCAATATTGAAGGATTCCATGGACAAAATACTGAATTATGCAGAAAACATCAAAAAAAGATGGTAAGAATATACAATATCACTGTACCAAAAAGAAATCGTTAATAGTGAACCATTTCAAAAGATCGCATATGGTCAAGAGCCAAAGATACTGAAGGAAAAAGTCCAAAGTGTACTGAAGGTATTGGCAAAAAAAAACAAGGTTCCAGGTATTGATAGAATACAAATTAAAATCTTTCAACTAACTGCTGCGGCACTGGAAAATCACACTCATCTGTGCCAATAAATTTGGAAGGCAGCTACCTGGCCGGCCAACTGATGGGAAGAGATCCATTTTTGTGCCCATTCCAAAGAGTGGTGACCCAATAGAATGCGAAAATCCTCAAACAATATCATTAATATCACATGCAAGTGAAAGTTTTGTTAAGATAATTCAAAAAAAGTTTCAGCGATGCATTGACAAGGAACTACTAGAAATTCAGGTCAGATTTTGAAGAAGACGTGGAACTAGGAATATTATTGCCGACATCAGATGGATCTAAGTGGAAAGCAGAAAATACCAGGAAGATGTTTATTTGTGCTTTCTGTTTACTGTGTGGATCATAAGAAAGTATGGATAACATTGCAAAGAATAGATATTCCAGAAGGCTTAATTGTGCTCATGAGGAACCTGTATAGACACCAAGAGACAATTTTTCGAACAGAACAATGGGATGCTGAATGGTTTAAACTCAGGGAAGGTGTATTCCAAGTTTCTGTCGTTTCACCGTGCTTATTCTGTTTGTTTGCTGAGCAGATAATCTGAGAAGTTTATTATATGAAGGAGAATATGGTATCAGAATTGGAGGAAAACTCATTAACAACTTGCCATATGCAGATGATACAACTTTACTTGCTGGAAGTGAAGAGGACTTAAAATACTGATGTAAATATGGGTTATACCTCAGAATAAAGAAAACAAAAATCTGTATCACTGGACCAATAAAAACATCCATATAAAAAAGGTTGAAGTTGTCAATGACTTCATTTTGCTTGAATCCACGACTCATGGCAGCAGTAGTTAAGAAATTGAGTGACATATTGCATTAGGCAAATCTGCTGCACAAAGAACAAAGATGCCAGTCTGAGGATTGAGGTGTGCCTGACCCAGCCATGGTATTTTCAGTAGCCTCATATGCATGTGAAAGTTGGACAGTGAATAGAGAAGACCATAGAAGAACTGATGCATTTGAATTACAGTGTTCGAGAAGACTTTTAAAAGTACTATGGACTTCCAGAAGATCAAACAAATCTGTGGTGGAAGACGTACAGCCAGAATGCTCCTTAGAAGCCAGGATGGTGAAACTTTGTCTCTCATCCTTTAGACATTTTATAAGGAGGGGTCAATTTCTGGAGAAAGACATCATACTTGGTAAAGTGGAGGGTCAGTGAAAAAGAGGAAGACCCCCTAACATAGTGGTAGTAACAATGGCCTCAAACATAACAATTGTGTGTGATGGCTCAGGACTGGCCTTGTTGTGTATAGGGTCACTAGGAGTTGTACCGGACTTGATGGCACCTAACAACAATTTAATGACTTTTAAAGGCAAAACAAAATGTCTTCATTTATATTTAGTTGACTACTAATAAGATTAAATACCTTTTCAATGCTCACACACTCTAAAATTACTGAGTTTAACCTTGCTGTTTGTTGAACTTTTGAGTGGTGGAGGTGTTAGTCTAGGTGATAACCATCTGTGGTCTGACGTGAGTAAGTATATGGAGACCGTTGAAGACGAAAGGTGAGTGTGATGACAGGTAGTCATCAACACTCAAAGAGCCAAAGAGCAGGGGATATTAGTCCATGCTAGGAAGCATTGCCCTCCTACCATTTTAATTTGCTCATACTTTAATTGCTTTTCTTTGTTCTGTTTTTTCTGCATGTTTGTGCTTACCCATCTGCATGTTTACTTACCACTTCA